AAAAAACAAAAAAACAAAAAAAACAAAACCAGTGCTCAGTCGTTGAGATTAGCATCTATTGTTGTGATAACAATGTTTTGTCATCATTATCATCCTCATGATATATGAAGTTAATAACCTGCCAGAAAATAACACTTACTTGTCTCAAATCAGAAATGGAAAGTTTACAAAGCTTAGGTGCCAAGCCAGAAACTTCTCTTCAATCTGATTTATTAGTATGGAATTTTCACACCAGTGGAAAGACTTCTCCACCTGTTGGAAATGCAGAAGATACAGGGTTCAGCACTGTGTGTCCACTGGACTCCACATGTCTCATGCTGCTATTACTTTGTTAGGGCTATCTGTGGGAGGGGAGTAGGATGATGCTGATCCCATTTAGGCCACTGCAGGAGCTGAGGTGGAATAGAACCCAGCTGCTTATGGGCTTTGACCCCCTAGAGATAGAAAGGAAACTGAGGATATACCATTTCTGTCCAGTCCCAACCCCGATTCTGCCCACTTTTCTCTCCCATTCTCTTCTCAAGATTTCTTATCAAACCTTGTACTTGATTTGGAGACTCGGCCCAGGGGATGCTGTTGACTTTGTGAAGAAAGAAGAGACTTTGAAGGGCAAATGCTGCTTTGTGACTGCAATAATCACAGCCAATCTCAGCTTTTTCTTCCCTCTCTTCTCCTTCAATACTGCTTTAAGTGGAAAAGAAAAGGGAGGCTGTAAATTTGACATTTTTATCCTGATGTTCAGGCTTATTTCACAGAAGATGTTTATAATTTAAATTGTGTCTGATTGTGGAAATCCCTGTTTTCTTGGCTGCTGCTCAGTGTGAGAAGATAAAGTTCCCCTATTAAAACCACCCTCCCTCCAAAGTTCCCCTATTAAACCCACCCTCCGTCCCCCACAGACACAACAAGCTCTGTGCAAATGGTTTTTTGAGACATGTTTACACAGTAGGTATTCAGAACCTATAGGCTCCTTGATGGATATTTCTTCTGGGATAATGGCTTCTTTTTTCTCATTTCGAAGTCCTGGCCTTTATAAGTAGAACTGATACCTTGTTTGAAATGAGGGAGGATGAATATGTAGGTAATAGAGTATGTGCAATTTATATGCCATATATAGGGAAATTTGTTGCTTTTTTTAAATTCTAAAGTTGAATTTAAAAACAGCTATCATTTATAGAACACCTAACGTAACTACTACACTAAGTTCTTGATATTTTATTTAATCTTCCGAATACTCCCCCTTTCCAGTGAATAAACTGAGATTTAAAGAGGATAAATACCTTCCCTAGGGTCTCCAAGTCTCCATCACTGGTTCTCAAGCTGGTCCAAGGACAGCAGCTTCTTTATCACCTGAAAACTCATTAGAAATGCAGACTATTAGGTACCATTCCGGACCTGCTGAATCAGAAACTGTAAGGCTGCGGCCTGGCAGTCCATGTTTTAGCAAGTCATTTGGGTGATTCTAATCCATGCTGAAGTTTGAGACCTAGTCATCTAGACTTAGGCCTTTGAGGTTCACCTGTCACTTGTCTACATCTTAATCATTTTGAGATTTTGACTGCATCTAAGAGATGATTAATAAGCAGGAGTAAAAGTGCTGAAATTAGTTATAGCATCAGTTTATTTTGCCTCCTTTTCATCATAAGTAGACAGCTTTCCAATGACTTAAGAAAGCTTTATGGTGAATGTTCATGAAACTTGTATGGTCTTAGTGGCCCTTGAGACAGGACATTTATATGTAAAAGTCCTAAATAACACAGCGGAAGTCTTGACTCTGTTACCTTTCTGGAAAATGCATCTCTAGTTACTGTATTGCTGCAGTTCTGTGACCTGGAAAACTTCTAGCATCTGGAAGAACACCTTAGACTTTACACTGCCCCTTTTTGCACTTGAGCCATCACTTGGCTTCCCCATAATGAAGATCAGAGTGGAACATTTTTTTTTTTTTTTTTTTTTTTTTTTTTTTGAGACAGTGTCTTGCTCTGTCACCAGGCGCCAGGCTGGAATGCAGCGGCACGATATCGGCTCACTGCAACCTCTACCTCCCAGATTCAAGCAATTCTCCTGCCTCAGCCTCCCGAGCAGCTGGGACTACAGGTGTATGCCATCACACCCAGCTAATTTTTGTATTTTTTAGTAGAAATGGGGTTTCACCATGTTGGCCAGGATGGTCTCGATCTCTTGACCACGTGATCTGCCCACCTCGGCCTCCCAAAGTGCTGGGATTACAGGCATATGCCACTGCGCCCTGCCCAGAGTCGATCATTTTGAGTGGTTTCATGCTGAGAGCTGCTCTTTTCCCTTAGTGTCCTAGAACATTCTTTAGAGGTCATTTTTAGGAGGGAGTTGGGTTCACAAGACAGGTATGTTTAATAATCTGCCTTAGAGCTGAATTCCCATCCATTGCATATTCCACATCAAAAAGAGGTTTTGGAAAGCATCCTTGCAAGTAGAAGGAAGAAAAGTTGCTCTGGTATTTCATGCACCATTGTATTAAATGTTATATGCTGTGTGCTCATTGGGATAGCATATTGCCACATATCTCACCTCAGAATGATTCCATAAATGTCAAGTAAAAATGAACCCAACCAAGATCTTTTTCTGGCACAGAATAGAAAAAAATTTAAAAGGATGCTCAGTCATGTACTTAATATGAAAGGCTTTCATAGACAAGGAGAGATAAGTGAGATAAAGTCAGAACTCATAATCAGATAGATATTTAACATCAAATCATAACTTGGCCATTCTAAAAATCCTATGGAGCGTGAATTGTAATACTCTTTGCAGAACCATTCGCAGCATATGCCTCCATTGGCAGGACTGGCTGGCAGCACAAGTGTTAGTCTTAACAGTGACTGAAATTAACACAGGGCATCTCTGGGTGCTTGTTTCACCTCTTTCCACCGCTTATTGTCCATACAACTCATTTTGCCTTCAGCTTAGTCACTATAAAGAATTCAGAGGTCACTTTCCTAGTAGGTCCACTTTAAAAAATGCACGCCAAAGTGCTATAATCCCAGCGCTTTGGGAGGCCAAGGCAGGCAGATCACTTGAGCTCACAAGTTTGAGACCAGCCTGGGCAACATGGTGAAACCCCATCTCTTCAAAACATACAAAAATTAGCCATGTGTGGTGGCATAAACCTGTAACCTAGCTACTTGGGGGCCTGAGGTGGGAGGATCACTTGTGCCAGGGACATTGAGGCTGCAGTGAACCATGTTTGCACCACTGCACTCCGGCCTGGGTGACAAAGCAAGACCCTGTCTCAAAAAAGAAAATTATAAATAATTCAGGCATTTAACAAATATCTACCACTTGATCTAACAAAAAAATAGTTCAATACAAGTTAAGTGCCCACGTGTCACCCCTTAATCCCATGACTCCTATTGTTTTCCAGATATCATTATTCTGAATTTGCTGTTGTTCATTATGCAATGCATGTTTTATACTTTTATTATATATTTATGTGTCCATAAGCAGCATCTAGTATTGGACTACATGTTTTAAACTTGTATATATGGTACCATATTGTGCACATTCTTCCTTCTTCACTCAGTATTTTCAGATTTTAGCCATCATTGATGCTTGTAGTCCTGGCTCATACATTTTCCTTGTTGTTTGGCATTTCATTGTATGAATAGACTACAGTTTAGAAAAACTAATATGCTGTTGATGGACACAGTTGATTACAGATTTTCACCATTAAAAGCAACTCTAAAATGTCCATGTTCCTTTCACATATGTTCTCTATCATATAGAAAATTATGATGTCCACACAGCACACGAGAAAAAGGAGGAGGCTTCTCACAGCTAAGGGTGACTGGGCCAGGGGCTCTGGCTGTCTATAGACTGGTAATTCATTGGGTCTTACGGCTTGAAAAGCTGTGCTGCCAGAACAGTGATTCTCAAACTCTAGCCTGTATTAGCCTCACAGATTGCTCTGTAGGTCTGACGTGAGACAGACTTTGCATTTCTAACAAGTTCCCAGGTGATGCTGAGGCTGCTGGTTTGGGGACTATACTGGGAACTGCTGCTGTAGTACATAATACAATGGCTGAACAACATGACCAGATACTGCCAAATTGTTGTCCAAAGTCTGTAATTATCAGCAGAGTAGTGAGAGTTCCCAATACTCCACATTCTTTTTAGCACCTGTCATTGTCAGCCTTTTAAATTTATGCCTGCTGGCTATAAAATGATAGAATATTGCCAGAATTTTTGTTCTTAGATTACTAGTAAGGTTGAGCAGCTTTTCCTGTCTTCATTGGCAATTTTCCTTCTCAGTGAGTTGCCTGTTACGTACTTTGACCACTTTTCTCCTAGGTTTTCTTTATCAATTCCCAGGAGTTCTTTATATTTCCTGGGTATTAATCTTTTTCAGTTATGCGTTAAAATGTCTTCTGTCAGTCTGTGGCTTGCCTTTGCTCTTTATTTATGGTATATTTTAGTATACAGAAGTTTCAGTTTTTATGTAATCAAACATGTCATTCTTTCTTTATGGCTTGTACTTTTTATATCTTGTTTAAGGAATCCCTTTCTCCCTTGAGGTCACAAAGATGTTTTCTGATATTTTCTTCTCAAACATTTTCTTCTCAAACTTTTGTAGGTTTGCTTTTCATATTTATGTCTTTAATCTTCCTGGAAGTTGTGAATGGTGTAAGATAGGGACATAATTTTATCATTTCCAATTAGAAAGCCAGTTGGTCTTAGCAGCATTTATTAGATCACCCATTCTTTTCCCCACTTGTATGTAATACTGACTTGAGAGAGAGAGATCTGTTTTAGATTCCATATTCTGGGCCATTGTTCTTTTGCCCACCTAGGCTTTAAAAAGACATGAATTACAGGATGAAGGTTCTTACTATTGTAAGTGAGTTACTGGACTGTTCTGCCTAGAAGTCATAGAACTTTAGGGCAAGCACATTTCCTCAGTGCCTGTTTCCCACCAGCCTCCTGCTAAAGTTGACTATCTGCTTTCAAATCTCCTAGTTCCTAATTCTTGCCTCAGAACTGTCTAGTTGAGCACATTTGCAGAGCTATGATTGTCATTTCCTTAGCCCAGTGAGTAATTCTGCCCTTCCTGGCTTTGATTAACTACTTCCCAGTCTTTCTCTTAAGACTTAGATTGGCATTTCTCTCATCTTCTCTACAAGCCGAAATAACTTTACCAATTATAGGTGTACAGTAGAAAAACACTTTCCTATACATAGTTCCTGGACAGAATGGTCGTCCACCAACAGTAATGGAAGGGTTGTTCTCTCAGTTACTATAAAGGGTTTAGGCATAATCTCTAAATACGTAATAGCAAGTTTCTGAGTTATAGTAAATGAATGAGATCTGTGCTGTTTCCATAACGAGAATAAGGTGCCAATTCTTTCAGAGAAACAATTGGAAAAGGCATATTTTTCACTTTTATTACATTGTTTACAAAGAGTAAACACTAGGTTTTTGACAGAATGGTGTGATGCAACAAGAGTGCCCCCAGATCTCATTGATTTTAACTTTGTGACCTTGGGCAAGTGACTGCCTTTCTGGGTCTTCCATATCTTCATTTCTAAAAGGAAGAGAATTGAGCAAGGTGACTGTCAAGAATTCCTACTTGGAAATTTTGACTCAGTCTCTGGGGAACTGACACATCTCAGAGAACTGGGAGAAAGGTATCATTTATGTCTTTCAGAGGCCAAAAATACTCCCAGATTATAGAACATGCATTATGATAATGAATGGGTATTACAGTGAAGATTAATGTATTTCATTATCTAATCTTCGCTAGGTAACCAAAATAGGTCAGGCTTAGACTTTATCTTATTTTAATTCAGTCACTCTCACATGGCAGGGATATTTGCAGCCCCAGAAGTCAGCTAAGGACTTTGGAAAGTCTTTTTTTTTTTTTTTAATGACTTTTATTTCATTTGTTGGTTTTAAATTGCAGCAGTGGTCTCCTCAGTCAAGACCCAGCCCAAATTCTTTTGACACTGCCTTATCCCATTAGATCATCTGGCCCACATTTTGCCTGGTGAAACTCTCCTCTGGCAAGGTATAAGCACAACAAGGAATAACTGCTTTGTCTACTACAGCCAGGTGGGAAGACACAGATGTACTGCTGTACAAACAGTCTCCCATCCTTCAGCCAGGCTGCCTGTGCTTTTGGACTCACAGCATCTTTGTCTTCTTGCTGTCTTTTAGAAGAGGGCCTGGAAAAGAGCATCTATGCCTTTTTGAATGGTTAACTTGAATGGCAATATATAGGAAAGGCATAAGGTCTCTGAGGTTGGTATAGCACCGGATCCAGAGCTCTTTTAAACAAGCAGTCTGTCCAGTCAGGTGGGCCTTGGAGCTGGAGGCTTAGATACCAGGACAGCTGTATTTGATCCAGACTGTTAAGAAGTATGAACTTCATCTTGTTACTTCCCTACTACGATTCTGAATCAGAATGATCATGACTTTGCTAACTGAAGAAGAGAAAATATTGTCTTAGTTTTTTTCCCCTGTAATATTCTCTGTACAGGGGAAAAAAACTAAGAGAATATTTTCCCAGAATGTCCACTGTGGTTACCTCTGGAAGAAGGGATTATAGGTTTCTTTACTTCTTCCTTTTAAAATATTTTTTTTTATTTTCAACAACAGACATGAATCGTGAAACTCAAAAAAAGCAATGAATGTTACACTTTTCAAAACTTCCATTATGCCTCAGGTGGACGATCAGAATCTTTGACCTGATGGATAAAGGTGTTCACAATTTGGCCCCAACCCAGTCCTCAAGCTCTAGTGTTCTTCAGATCCAGTGAATTTTGCTCACCATTGCCCAGCATGCGATGACCTCTCACAACGCTGTGGTACTTGCTGTCTGCAGCACCATCTACCACCCTTCTCTCTACCCTACCCAGCTTCAGGCTTCCTTCTGAGAATTCTTTGTGTCCACACACCTCCCCCCTATCCCAGGCTGGATTAATTTCTCCCTTCTTTCTGTTCCTATAGCACTGCATACAGATATCTACTCTAGCAGTTATTGACTTATAGAATAACGATTGTTAAATGACTGGCTATTTTATAAGCCATCAACTTCTTGAGGACAGGGAATTTACTGAATTTAAATCACCTAAGCATACTACTGTGCGGTAGACTCAGCCTGGATTCTTGTTGAATGGAGCAGGTGTTCATGGTAGATATCCACCAGCAGATTCTAATGGTATTTCTTTATTTATAATGGCATTTAATGCCTTGCCTGGAATACTGTCACAAGAAAGAAAGTATAACTTACCCCTGAGGTAACTCACCTCAGGATGTTTTCTGTGGATCTGTACACCTTGCTAGCCCAGATGGCTGCTCACATGGTTGAACATTTGGTTGTGTTGCTGGTTTTTATCAGAGGCTGTACCTAGTATTCTCTCCCATCTGTACAACACACTTTGTGAGTCAGCAGCCCCTTTCTTCACATTTCACAAGATATCCTCACTAAGGTCTTATATGCCATCTGAAATTTCCCTGATGCCATATATCTTCTTACAGAAAATCACCTAGGTTTTGTTTGGTCTACTTGAAGACATTTATCTTTGACCAGGCCCTAGTTTACGCAGACTGTTCTCCTAAGAAAAAAGTTAAATTTACTTTTGGGTTCTAAGTGTTGTACCCAAGCAAGTTAAGGAATGTGCCACACTTTGAGATTGAATTATGAGTCCTTTATTATGCCTGTGACCGAGAGGCGGCTAATGCCCAGAATTTTCTTGGCACCTAAGAAAATGTTAGGTGGTCTTTTTTTTTTTTTTTTTTTTTTTTTTTGAGACAGAGTTTCGCTCTTGTTACCCAGGCTGGAGTGCAATGGCGTGATCTCGGCTCACCACAACCTCCGTCTCCTGGGTTCAAGCAATTCTCCTGACTCAGCCTCCCGAGTACTGGGACTACAGGCGTGCGCCACCATGCCCAGCTAATTTTTGTATTTTTAGTAGAGACGGGGTTTCACCATGTTGACCAGGATGGTCTCGATCTCTTGACCTTGTGATCCACCCTTCTCAGACTGCCAAAGTGCTGGGATTATAGGCGTGAGCCACCACGCTTGGCTAGGTAGTCTTTTATACCCTAGTTTTAAAAGGGAGGGGGAACCTAGCTGAAGCAAATTTTTTACAGAAGAAGAGTAGGCAAAAAGTTAAAAGATAACCTAGTACATGAGAAATAAAACAGTGCCAGGTGAAAGGGGTAAGGCTGTTATAAAAGACATACAACTTATAGATAATGGGGGCTCTGGGCACTTGACAGTACCTGCATTCCCAGGCTCTGCTGGGAATCCACTTAACTCTGCTTGGAAACCACTTAACTTGGCCTTTTATTAGCAAATGCATTCCTGGATGTGCCCAGTGTTAGCCTGCCCCAGCTACATACTACAGCTACATACTTAATGGTGGGAAAATAACTAAAATGAAGAAGCTAAGATGGAGTCTGTCTGGCTCAAGAAGCTAACATGAAGCCTGAACAGCTCTTAGTTTATGCAGACTGTTCTCCTAAGAAAAAAGTTAAATTTAATCTTGGGTTCTAGGAGTCTTCTCCATACCTGAATGTATTAGTTATTACTTACTGCTTCTGCTTTAGCTTTAGCGCACTGGATGCCGGCATTCCAATGTGTTCCTAAGCTTCAGAGAGCCAGGGGAATCTGTTGTTACATTTCACATGTGCAGTCTTTTATATAAAATTATTGCAATATATATTGAGTATATTCTTTCATATAATACGCATTTTGTGCAGATTTGAATACATAAAATTGAAATAGTAGGATATACTAAAAGTATTAATAAAGCTTCACTCCAGTTTTTAAAACAAAGTAGACTAGAATGACATAATTTCAAAGCTGGAAGGCTTGAGTTGATTGTAAACTGTGTTGAATCTGCAGTCACATGGCAGTGCCATTTTGGCCAGTAAAACGCAGATAATACCTGACTTCCTTTGGCAGTGTCCTGTGTACCACATTGCTTTTCACTGCATAGGAACTTGTACTTGTGGTTTTAGTGTCTATTTACCTGCTCTTGTTAGAACTGAAAATATTTTTGTAGCCTTAGAATGTCACCTAAGCATCCATAAAATGGTGGTGGTACTTGTGCTAGTGCTGCAACTAGCACATGAAAATAAATATTACTGGAAAAGAATTTAGATGTGGAGAAACATGAAGAAGGTCAAATAGCCCCCATGGTACACTGTGCTGTTAATTTAGGAATGAGTGCTCTGTAGCTAATGGAGATGATGCTTAGGAAATAAAGTGGAACATTGAAATAAAAATGCACCATGGTGATGTAGATCTGTGCCTCCTGAGAATGCATTTATTCCTGTGAAGAAATTCGTTTTGAATTTTGCATATATTGAATTATTCAAAGTTTATGCATCCATCTGGCTCTTGGGATTTTTTTCATAATTAAAATTATTATATGCCAGTTTCAAAATCTCTTTTTAAAATACATTGGGGCAAACAAAAAATAAAAATAAAAAAACACATTGGGATAAAAATTATAGGTTATTATTAAAGTATAAAACATGAATGACTTTCATTAATATAGTTCTCACCGATTGCTTTAGCTTAATAACTTCAAGACATTTTTTTCTTAAATATTTTTGAAGGGTTCTAGCTTTTAATACTGTATATCCAAGGTCATAGGGCCATTTAGGACAAACATTTGGCATCCCAGAATAGAATGTTAAAATTGGAAAGAACCTTAGAGATCATTTTACAAAGGAAGAAACAGATGGTTAGAGAGGGCAGCTGAGGGATTGGCTCAGGGTCACACAACATTTCAAAGTATTTCTAATTCTATTGTCTTAATTTTTCAGTATCCTTTCCTCCTCCTCTGTGTCTTTATATGTATTGACCTTTTCCCACCATGATAATAAGCTGAAGTTCAGATATATTTTATCACCCAGGGTAAGAGTGGAAGTATCTGTGTTTCTTTAAAAAAAAAAAAAAAAAAAAAAAAAAAAAAAAACCATGTGGGCTTTTTTCCTGCTTTAAATTTTGGGGGTTGAAAATCCGTTTGAACGGATTATGTAGATATTTGTATATTGTACATAATAGTATCGTGCTATTATGTACATTATACAAATATGGCCAAGCACGGTGGCACGCACTTGTAATCCCAGGGCTTTGGGAGGGCAAGATGGAAGGATTGCCTAAGCCCAGGAGTTCCAGAACAGCTTGGGCAACATAGCGAGACTTCATCTCTACAAAAAATTAAAAATCAATTAGCTGGGCATGGTCACCCACACCTGTAGTCCTAGCTACTCGAGGAGCTGAGGAGGATCGCTTGAGCACAGGAGTTCAAGGCTGCAACTATTACCACATCACTGCACTCTAGCCTAGGTGACAGAGCAAGACCGTGTCTCTTAAAAAACAAAAAAAAGTACATTATACAAATAGCACATCAGATTCTGATGAAAGTGTTCCTCATGGAGTTTTTCTTCTTTTCAAGATAACGCATATGGTAAAACATTGCGGCAACACCATGGCTGGGTAGTACGAGGGGTTTTTGCGGTAAGTGATCCTCTGTCTCTTAATATTAACTGTATTGGGTGTGCCAGTGGCTAGGGCTAGAAATCTCTTCTTATCCAGTTATTTATCTAGTCATTATTGCCAGAAACAAGGGTGTGTGTGTGTGTTTCTGTTTGCTTTGTTTTTGAGAAAAAGAACAAAATGTTATTTATTTCATTTACGTTTATAGGCCTTTGGTGTGTGAAAATGTCAGCAATAAAAAGTGTCTAAAATAGCAAAGACTGTAAAAGAAATATGAATAAGAGATTTGATGCTTTACCCTAGCGAATTCTAATTACCCCAGCCTATTCTAATGACCTTGGGAAGATTTGCCTCCTAAGTGGTTGCTTTTCTGGTAAGGTACTAAAAAGCTTAAGTATCCTAGCAGAAGTAGGTAGGAAGCAGCTATCCTACATACCTGTCATTAAAGGAAAATAATCATTCAGGTGATGAAGTCAACCTTATAGCTCCCTCTGCTGCCCATTGTATTCAATACTTTTCATTCTTAGGTCTTAGTTGATTTTTTTTCCCCCAATTGAATTTTGTCTTTGAATTTTAACTGTATTGGGTGTGCCAGTGTCTAGGGCTAGAAATCTCTTCTTAGCCAGTTATTTTCATTGTGAAGGTGTTTGTATTCATGTGTTTTGGCTGCGATTACCCACCACCCACTTCTTCGCAGCATGTTTAGGAAGAACACAAACCTGAGACTCTTAGTCTCCTGGGGAAATTACTTAGCCTGCTTTATAAAACAGCAGTAGTAGTTGGCTCCTTTATGTCAGCATTAACACTCTTTGATTCTTCCCATCCAGGGAAAGGTCAGTCTTAGTCAAATCTAGTCATGAAAAGTTAATCATGCAGTTGTATAACAGAAAACCTCATAGAATGCACTCACATTCTTTGGAAGATTGGGGAATAAAGCAGCCTTGCAGATGATATTTTTTACTGATGTAAAGGATACATAGTTTGCCTAAAGAAAGAACTGTTTAGGTCATGCTTTATTAGGACGCTGGTAAAGTGGGAAGAATGTACAGTACAAGAAATCAAATACTAATGAAAATGAAATATTTTTTGAAAGCATGGAGATTAAAGCTCCATGTCCCATTCACTGTTCACTGGGATAGGTGCTTGACCAAATGGAGCTACAAACTGTTTACCTTTACCTTCAATATACCTTTTATAATCATAATAGCTACCATGTAGCTATTGGATACCTGTTGTGTACCAGGCACTCTAACAGTAGAAAAAAATGTACTTTTAGCTTGTAGTATAATTTTATATCCCCCCAACTGAATAGATTCTATCGTGATCATTTTTAAATGCCATAAAAGAGTCTTTGAAAAAAACACTTTTAGTGACTGTATAATATTTTCCTAGTATGGAGATGTCATAATTTATTTGCTTAGTCCTCTGTATGAGAGACTTAAACTGCTCTAAGTTTAGAATAAAACAGGTTAGAAATAAAACAGCATCTGTTTACATGCATTTTTGACTAAAACTCTTATTTCCTCAAAATAGGTTCCTAGAAGTAGAACTGCTGTGTTGAATACCAAGAACTACAACCACAGTTTACAATTTTGAGCACTTAACATGTACAAGATGTTCTTTTAAGTGCTTGACATATATAAATTTCTCAGTCTCATAACCCTGAGATAAATTCCATTATTTTCCCTGCTTATAGACAGAGAAACATGAGACACAAAGCAATGAAGTAATATACCCAAGGTTGTACAGTAAAAACATCTTGAAGGCTTTAAATATTATTATTATTTTTTATTTATTTTTTTTGAGACAGAGTTTCACTCATGTTACCCAGGCTGGAGTGCAGTGGCGCGATCTCATCTCACCGCAACCTCCGCCTCCT